ATGAAATTTAGGGAAACAATAGACCTGCTCTATTATGTTTAACAGTAGTCTTAGATGGCAGACGTGACTAAATTTCAGGTTTTTTATTAATTATTTATTATCTATTCCCAGCTAAAAGCTTTACTTTATATTGCTTGGGAAATAACGGGGACGATAGAATACTGTCATACTAAAAGCCCGATTTTTGAAGCGAGATTGAGTCGTGCGACAATCTCTTGAGTTTCGAACATGCTTGAAATTTAGCTGCAACTCGAAGGGCTTGAAATTTAGCTGCAAATCGCAGGGCTGTTTACACGTACGATTTCGGGTGCGCGAGACCAAAATGGCGATTATCGCGTGCCAATCGCCCTGCAAACATCGTAAGTATAAACGTGCCCTAACTGTATTTTGAAGTCATTATCGGCAAAAGCTGCCAACTATATTGAAGCTATGTACTCACGAATAAAAAATCCTCTATTAAAAAAATTTTGCGATCGCGTGTTTGTTAACACATTTTAAGCCACCTGACCAGACGGCTTGTAGTGATGCCTTTTAAATCGTTAATAATGTATTATCTCGATATGGTCTTTTTTCATCCTTCCACGTCTTAAACTCACTAGAATTGAATGAGACAAGAAGTCATTTTTAATTAAGTAGTATKAATAGGCGAAAAAAATACCATCTTGAATGAGTATCTATAAAGAATACAGGTTTCATATCTTGAGAAGTTATCCTTCAACAGTATGTTAGTAGGAGCGTAATAATATAGCAAATGTAGCCARATACCGCTGTTAGATGGTAAATACTTAATTTTAGATAAGTCGAGCTTTCGTTGTTTCAGGACTGAAAAAATTCAGAAAAACAGAAAATTGATAGCTATAAAGGTGTTATATTTCAGAAAAAGTATGCCAAAGGACATTATGTTATTTTGATAACGTCAAGTTGTGTACTCATTAATTATACAATACTTTGTTATGTCTTTTAGTTTTTCAAATTATTTTTCAGTGCAAAATATTCTCCTGGCTGACCAAAAATGATCATCTACTGTTTTCTAATATCAAAACATAATTTAAATGAAGATTATTCGTTTGATTTTTTATGCTATGTGAAAATGTGACGTTAAAGCTTCCCCCTTAAAAAAGCAATAAACATAAATAAATACGTGAAAAAATAATAATGATAATTTCAATAATAATCTTTTTGGCATTTGCTATTTTTATATATTTTGGCTTATGACTTTTTTGTCATAATGTCTGGGCTCCTAGCTCAAGTTTGTAGTTTATAATATTTTTTATTACATAATTTCCTAAACTACATAATTAGTTTTCATTTTTATTATTATTATCTAACACTATAATCTACACTATAATTCACGTTTACATATATAGCCTTTTATTGATTTAACTGCTTGTAAACAATTTATATTTCTTATTATTTTTAATAAATATTATTATTATTATTATCTCATTACCTTTCGGTCACATCAACCATTCTCTGGCAACGTTCTTTTATATTTCTGTATGACCTTTGATTTTTATGAATTAATCATTAATTATTACTATTGTCATTAAAATTATTATGTTTATGATTATTATTGTGACTATGAATATKGATGTGATTGTTATGTTTCGTTAATTTCCATATGTTTTTCTATCTGTGTAGAATCTTATAGACCCTGGACAAGCTCGTCGTCATAAGCACGCGGCAGCGACTTTGTCAATCAACAGACCAAAGAATAGAATGGCCAACATATTACCATGTAAGCRAGTTGACATTTAGTCTATTCAAAAAACTGAATTCTAAAGTTTTTACGTCATATACCGTATACGCAATGCATTATAGGATATGTTTGGGAAAAAAAACATGGCGAATTTCTTTYGTTTTATCCAAAAACTGATCCCACAATGCATTGCAAATCACGGAGGTAACGTAATAGTTTCAGAAGGTTATTAATTTATTATTATTAATASCAATTTGCAATGTCCTCAGTTCCTCCCTTTTGGAATGGGTTAAAATATGGCTTTAAAAAGTTCAATGCATTTTTGCAATGATTGTACGTTAATTATACTTTTGATAATAACAGCATTATTGGATCATATAACTGAATTCTTGAGTGACAATAAAACTCCTCTAACATCTACAGCAGCATCATCCACGATGTAGACTGCGCCGCCGAATACTCCAGTTTCGACTGAATTCATAGCGAAAAACAATAGCGCTAACAATACATTTTCCCCAAGTTGAGGCTAACGCTGTATTCCCAGAAGGCTCATACCTTAGGCCTTATGGGAATACATGGTTAGTCTCAGGTTTAATCAAGATTTTCYTGTGCTTTCTTTTGTGTTTGGTATGTTCTTTGCGTAAGAGAATCTGCTRTCAAATAAAACAGCGGTCATTCGCTTTGAATACGAAAATGGAGTATTGCGCGAACCAATACATCTCACATGTAAAAGGCTTTTGTCAAGTTTATCGTTTATAATTTTGAATGTATTTGTAAATGTCTGTTTTGTTCTCAGATGAGGCTACTCGTGTCCATATATCACCAGTACGTGGCGTCGAGGGATCCGATTACATCAACGCAAGCTTTATTGATGTAAGTATAAACCGTATTGAAAAAACGTTGTCGGGTTATAAAAGATTACATCATTGAAGCTAGGTCCGAAAAGGAGCATGGGATAGCAAATATCAGTAGTATACCAATGTTATTCGGAGATATAGCTATTATGCGATGCATTGTTTATTGAAAATCTCAACTTGTGTTCCTTTTACAGGGTTACCGACAAAGAGGGGCTTTCATCGCTACCCAAGGTCCATTGCAGGATACAGTTGACGATTTTTGGCGAATGCTGATGGAGCAGAATTCAAATATTGTGGTGATGCTGACCAAGTTACAGGAGGGAGAATGGGTAAGAGTGTCTTTTTATTTGTCATRATGGTTTTCTRTTTGGTTCCCTGCGCCTTATTGAAAGTGCAATGATAGATACCTGCGAATAATTGTCTGAGGTATAAACAAAGGTTTCTATTATTACTTGCTCACCGTTCGTCCTACTTTGACTCAAACTTACGGCTGCATTTCAAGATGGTGCAGGAAACTGTGAACGAGACTGTCATAATACTCCAGTTTCGAATTCTCTTTTGTGCAAGCTTACCTTCAATCAAGTCTACTTTGCCATAGGGGTTAAGATTAAACAAATGAGATCTCGAAACTGCAGTATTATCACTCGTGTGAATGCTTTATTGATGAAATGCATTGCAAGCAACTTTCTTCGTATTCTGTAGGCATGCACTCTTTGGATGCATGACCATTTTCTGGATACCTTGTCCTTCACGTTGTGAGTTTCGAAACGCCTCATTTCCAGGGATAGAAATTTCAGGTTTAGATTGGACTTTTAAAATCCATATAATTAAAGCTTAGCAATCTACCAACAACTTACCATTTTATGAGAATACTTGTAAAAGTGTTGAAGAAATCTACTGGTGGTAGTTATTGCTTAATTTTCTTATGGTTYTCCAGGAAAAGTGCTACAAATACTGGCCAACAGAGCGTTCAGCACGACATCAGTACTACATTGTCGACCCTGTTGCTGAACAGGAGTATGCGCAGTTTGTCATTCGAGATTTCAAAGTCAAAGATGCAAGGGTAAGTGATTCATGAACCACAATAATATGGCGATTAATGGATTTCTTGGGTATAATGTGCAGTTTATGAAAGCTGGCATTACATAGCTATATTTTCTTGGAATTAAATTAAATGCTTTTGAATTGTATTGTTCTTTTCGCTTAAACTGCCAGGAATACTGAATTACGGAAATTTTAAATGTAATTTCCTCTTGCATTTCAAACAACAAAAACAACAACAGCAGTAATARAAATAGCCACAACAACAACAACAACATCTTTAACTACCAGAATACCAAAAGTGAATTGCCGAAATTTTCAAGGCTATTTTCCCTTGCATTTCACACAACAACAACAACAACAACAACAACAACAACAACAACAACAAATGTTGAAATCTTTGTGCTAGTTTGATGTGACGGCGTCAGCTAAAGGCGCCTATTGTATGGAAAATTTTCTTATAAAACAAATATTTTTTTAAATCTCGGCTAGRTCTCTAACTGAGAAGCACAGTTWTTGGTGTAGATTGTATTTCATATCACACCTGCACAATCTATGCAGTCCCCAGCTTTTCTTAAGTTAGCTTCCTCTTGTTTTTCACGTTAAAATCTTYCCAAGCCATTCAACACATCTTTCTTTTCTCTATTAGAACGACACTGTACGTAACATCAAACAGTTCCATTTCCTTGGATGGCCTGAGCTTGGTGTGCCCAAAACAGGTGAAGGGATCATCGATCTGATTGGTCAAGTACAGCGAGCATACGAACAGCAAGATGAGGACGGACCAGTTACAGTACATTGCAGGTAAAAATTTACGTTGTTYTGAATGCGAAAGTAAGGCCAGGGGCTGGATTTTTGCAGCGCGATAAACGCCACTTTGCTATCGCGAAACTCAAATCGTACGTGTAAACAGTCCTGCGATATTGTTGTGACGATTGAAAATCGCCGCGAGGTTGCAGCCAATTTTCAAACATCAGGCGAGGTTGCAGCATATTCAAACTCAGGCGATGGTCGCACRATAATCGACTCGAGAATCGCTCTGCAAAAATCGCAGTGTAAACGGGCCTTCACAGGTCACTGCCCTATCATTAAAGGTAGCCGCGCATTTGCATGGAAGCGAGAGGACTGGTTGATGTGCATTGACTGATACATTCTTTTTAATCAACAAATAATCATTAACAGGTAACTGTCATTGCACGTTCACTGGTCTTCTCTCTGGATGCATACGAAACATACATTTACCTCTCAACAAGACTATTGGATTTCAGTGTATTCGGCTCATGTCAGACATGGTGTTTTAGTGTTAAGGCCTATGCCATGCCAGGGCCCCAAAATGCGTTGTCATTGATTCCAGCGTTGAAACTAGAACTATGCAACAACGAGTTTTTTGGGCGATGATGTGGACACTAGATCTAATGGGCTTTTACTTTGCCCAGAATTATTATTTTTTGTTTAATTTTTGAAAAGGATTTAAAATAGATAACTAACTGATTTCTTTGGATTTTATAGCGATGGTGTCGGTCGTTCTGGAGTTTTCTGTGCACTATTTATCGTGCTGGAACGAATGAGATCAGAAGGTGTCGTGGATCTTTTCCAAACTGTTAAATTGCTAAGAACTCAAAGGCCAGCCATGGTCCAGTCACAGGTATAGTAATTAATTTAGTTACTTTTCTGAAAAAACACTGATAAATTATACCAGACAATGCCCGAAATGTTTTTCCCATTCACGGCGAGATAACGCTGTTTTACCTGACAACGGACTCTCTTACGAAAAACGTTTTGAAAAACAAAAGATGGCACGAGAACATGTCCTTATTACGAATTAGCCCCAATAATTTGAACTGGCTCTGATACGAGCGAATTCCCAAATGACMTCGTGGCTAGAACAAAACTATAATGAAAATTTTTGTACCCGCAAATTTTTACGATTACGTGCCTGACCATATAAGGAAATTTCTGTCATCGTGTGGGCGAACCTTAACCTCAACACTAATACGTGTCATCTATTSTCTATTTTAGGARCAGTATCTGTTCTGTTAYAAGACAGCACTAGAATACCTTGGATCATTCGATCACTATGCTATCTAGCCAAGCACCGTCGGACTAATTCATCCAAATCAAACTATTTGCTGAAGGAATTTGAGCTATCAAAAGCCGTTACCAAGCGACGTCTTCCTTTAAAGGTTTCTTTAGAAACAGATGTAAAAAAGCTMCTCCCACAGTTGCTAAGCGACGACATAATTAGTTGGTGTCAATAATTGATATTGGTGTCAGTTTGATAAAGACTACAGTTACCACTTGGAGTGTCGTCATAAATAAGGGTAGCCTTAGAAACACTGAATATCAATTGTCTCCATGGCAACAAGTGTATGTAAATGAGTCTTCGAATAGTGCCATCGCTACCATGACTGACAAGAGGACTAAGCTATTGTTTGACAAAAACGTTCCTCACGGAAATGACAAATCCACTAAGAAGATGTATAAAAGACGGYTGCCATCCAGTTGTAGATATATCCATAGTAACAAGACTTGTATAGAGACAGGTATTCCTACCACCAAAACTACGAATTCATATAAAAGGAAATGGTTTCCATGGCAGAATGCATTAGTGRAGTAAAATTTCAATATGTCGCATGTCTAGAGATAATTAGGTCACAGCTACAACGAAAACCCTGTWGTGGGACCATAAACTAAGCAGGCAGTGTACAAGGACGAAATTATCTAAAACAGTGCATGCTGGGAATTTTAATACTGATTTTTTTACTCTCTCTTTGAACGAGCCCCAAGCCCGTTAATTGTGTGCGTTGTATTTGGAAAAATTCAAGTAGTCTTGCCTTTTCTGTAAAAATATACACGAAAACCAGTCAAAGGGATAATTTTAAAGGCCATTGATATGGATAAAGGCTGGTTGTAAGGGCTACATTGCTATTTATGCTTTGAAAATGACGTCTAATGTACCTTGCCTGTTCATATTTGGATTTTCCCTGTGAAAGGAGTAACGTAAGCATAAACTATGATTGGYGGACTTAGTGTTGATTGGCAGTACAGAAAAATGTAAATCCAGTTGGCAAATCCAAATTTAGTTGGCAATGAGGATACAACGGGTTTTGCTGTAGAACCACTTCTTCATAGAAGATYCAATATAGCAAATATGGTAAATTAACTTTGCATAATGTTAGTCCAGATTTCGCATGAGTATTTTAAAAAAGGTACTGTACTTGTGATTGATATTTTATACGGTGTCAATACGTGGTGTTTTGTTACCGTTCGGTATGTCGCCCGTGCTGTTGCATAGTCATGCGAAATCTGCTCTAATCTTAGTTCTGTTGCGTGTCATTCAGAGACTAGAATATAATGCATTTCAAGCAATAAAAAGTCAAAACGTGCAGTAATTCACACCATAAAATGGTTGCATTTGTAAAATAGGCATTTGCTCAGAGAAGTATATTTTTAACCATTTTAATGAATAAATCCAGTGAGTGTATAACTGGAACTACAACGTAAATATTGTCTTTTTATTTTTTATATCCGATGAATGTAATTTTTTACATAAAATCGTAAATAAAAACGATTGATTTTATGACTCTGTCTAAGTTCATCAGTTTATGGTCCACTTGCATTCGAGAAACCGCTATCGTTAGCTTTGGAGATCTGTGTTTGAACGTTCATTTCTTATGCATGGGGCGAAAATTAAAGATGRCGATTTTTCGTATGTGAGAAAATCGCGCAAAGGTTCTTCGATTTCTTTATTTCCCCTTGGCCGAACAAGTGATATGCACTCGTGCGATGCGCGGTGCAAAGTTCCGGTACCACCTTAAGTATGGATAGGTTCACCCAATGAAATGACAGCTCGTCAACACAGTTGGCTCTATAGCCTCAGTTTGCCGGCATCCCAGGGGTCATGGGTTCGATTCTCGTTGAATAGTCACTKCGACTATCGTAATTCCGATAGTCCCTAAACAGATTGACCAATGGACCTTCAAATCGTAGTTCACGAGAATCCACTATCTATATAAGGAAAAAATGAAAAAGAAGAAACATAAAAACAATTTTTCCTGACGTTTTTTTAACATTTTTTCGTTTATTTTCACTTCATTCGATGCGAACATGCAATCAGCCAATCAGAATTTTGGATTTGTGATAACCTATAGTTTGGTGCCTGAGTGGGAAATCCAGCTCTCAGAAGTTGTAATCCAATAGGTTTGTTCAAAACAAAAGACAAAAAGTGTGAATTAAACAAAAGAGAGGTCATTATATTTATTGCGAGGTCATTATTACTAGGAGGTCGTTATTACTAGGAGGTCGTTATTACTAGGAGGTCGTTATTACTAGGTGGTCGTTATTAGCCGAAATAATGACTTCAAGAATATCTGGGTAGTTTTCATAAAAATACGACATTTATACAAAGAGAACAGGTGACAACAACAAGAAATAATCTTTAATGAACATTCAATACACTATGTTTAGGCTACGATAAATTATT